ACATCTTTATTCCCAGAGACCAGACTTTAGGGGTAAAGTGCCATCTTTAAACTTTCTGATTCAGCTCTTGTACTCAAAACTCTTGACTAGAGATAGCCCTAGGTCCCCTTTCTCCTGCCCCTCTACCCTCCAGAGCCTCCCTCCTCCTTTCAAACCTCCACTCCTGAAACCAGACTACCAGTCTGTCATTCCCTTCTGGCACCCATTAGAATGTGGTGTTAGCCAACCTAAGTGACAGAGCCAAAGACGCAAAAGAAATTAGATGTTCACAAAATGCCCCTCAACCATAACCCACAGGACCCCAAGCACACAACGGGAACAAATGCTTTCCTTCTATGCTGGTTTATCAGCCTAGTGCCACCTGTGAGTCTCCTGACCAAGTCCCTACTCCCCGGGCCCTCATACTCTCTAACGTCCCTCTCCGCCCCCTCCCTGACTACAGGCCCTATGCAGATTAAACACAGCTGCCTAAAGAACAATGAGGAAGGACCCAGAATGAGACAAGCTAATCCAAGAATGTCTAACTCTGACAGAAATGGCAAGGGAGCAGCACAGATAGAACCAAGCACTGGGCTGATGAAATAGCTAGGTAGACTAAGCGCCTGCTTAGGCAAGTGCAGGGATGGGGCTGGATCCCTGGCACCACATGCTATGCCCCCCTGGCTGGTGACCAAGATTAAGCATGGTGGCACATGTCTGTAGTCCCAGCAATGGGAAGGCTGAAAACAGGAGTATCACTATGAGTCCAACCTGTGCAGTGAGACCCTGTACCAAGTAACATTAAAAAGGGGGGGGGGGGAAGCAAGCACTGAGCAGGGGCGACAAGAGCTCCCTGAGGTGAGAACTGGAAGGTGAACAGGGACAACCCCAGGAGAGGGGTCCTGAGCCAGTATGTCCACTCTGGCAGCTATGGAGCTTCTGATGGAGGGGAACTGCTGGGCAAAACAGGCCTTGAAGAGGCCACTGGAAGGCCTGGGCAGGGTAGACCACTGAGAGGCTGGAGGAAGAGTTAGAAAGGGAAACTGCACACCTCTGAGCACAGCACAAGGGGCTCCAAGAGGAGCGCACAGGCAGGACAAGCAGCCAGGAGGCTCAGAGTGGAGGGCGTGCATCCGGAGTTGGGCCTCCGGGGCCCATGAGCTACTTACTTCCAGGTAAACTCCACTACCTACTCCACCTAGGTGAAATAAGGCACTGGCTTTCAGCCATTGCTGCACCAGCATCTTGAGGGTGAAATACTGAGGCAGGAACATAGCCCCATCCTTGATTCACACTGAAAAGAATCACCACCCTTCCTATTCTTGGAAGCCTCTTATTTGAGGAACCGTCTACAAACAACCCACAAAACTGAGGAACAAACTGACACAAGTCAGCGTTGCCCTTAAAAGTTTGAAGGGCTAGAACTGGGGATATCTAAGTGCCTGTCTAGCAAGCACAAGGTCCCAAGTTTGATCCCTGGTACTGGAATAGAAAAATAAAAGTCTGAAGGGCTAGAGAAAAGAGAGAAGGTAACTCAGAGACACAAATCTAAGAATTTTCCATGCCTTTTAACTCAGCTTAATAGTAACCTTATCGCTGGGTGGTGTGGGGAAAAAAAAACCCTAACACTGAAGGGAAGCTTGAAGGATGAGCCCTTCCCCAGAGATCCAAGGGGCTCAGACCAGCCTGGAGGTAGCAAGCAGTGCTCTCCCGAAAACATCCTCTTGTCTCTAACCTATCCACAGAGACACCAATTTATCAGATGGTGGGTCCCACCCTCTGCTCTGCCATGAGCTTTCCTTCCCCACCAAGCACAAACTCAGGGTCTGATTAAGACCAGGTTTCTTTCATACCTAGTGGTGTGAAAAATACTTGTCAGGAGTGTAGGATCCCGAGCGCTATTGGATACATTTCCCCAGAACAGCACACACACAGCATAACTACTCTATGTATTCGCTGCCCTAATTCCTTTAAACTTGACACCATCCATCTCTATCTTCGTTGGCTCATGCCCAAAGATTCTGTTGCTGTATCTACCTCGGGCTGGGCACTTGTCTTCGTTCAGAAGTAAAAGCTCCAGCCACCTGTGGAAACACTCAAAGTGTATCTGGCCCAGGTGTCTCTTGGGGAACAGAAGCAATGCCCCCCCCCCCCATACTGGGTTGGCCAGTAACATTCCTTTCTCCTGTCTCCTAACAGATTCAGACTAATGATCGCTCATTCCTAATTGTCAAATTTCTTTTCCTTCATCCTGTGTCTAATCACCAGTGACAGAAACCATTACGCAAATGAGAGCAGACGACTTCCCCCAACTGTTCGCATTGGTAAAAACCTTGTAATTTAAAGCCCTGATTTGTAGAGGAAGCTGGTCTCCCCCAGGCATCCTGGGCATCTGCTCAACTGATGCCCAGATCAGCCCCTCCTCCAGCCTGGGCCCCTACCCCCACCACCCACACAAATATTTGACTTCCCAAAGTTTCCTCTATACCTGGCATGTGAAAACAGAAGCTTACAATATGGCTGACCCCTAGACAGACCCAAGTTCCCACCTTGTCTTGGCACATCTGCCTCACATGCTTCCAGCCAGAGTATAAGGCAAGCATGCTACCAGCAGTGTTTTTTCTGTCACAAACAGAGCTTGAGCCTCAAGCTTACCCTTTGGTAAACAAGGGGAGGAACCAACAACTCCCCCAGGGAAAGGGGCAGAACAATCAAGACTTCTGCCAGGCATGGTGGCACACACCTGTAATCCCTGCACTTGAGAAGCTGAGGCAGGACTGTCTTGAGGGCTGTGTGAGCTACATAGGGAATTCAAAGTCAGCCTGAATTTAAAAAAAAAAAAAGAAAGAAAAAGAATTTAGCAATCTTAGCTAAGCTCAGCAACTGAAGCTTCAATTCTGATACAGAAGTACTCTGGGAAGGTTATACGACCTATTACAGGGCACACAGCAACTCAACAAGATCTAGAGCTCAATCCCCCAGCTGCTCTCAGCATCCTTGACTCCCAACAGTTTTCCAATGTCTTTAGCTGTGCTACAGAAGGGCTTTCACCTGGAGCTGGACTTCTGGACCCTCCTAGGCCAATTTCCTGCAAACACCATCCTATAGGTAAGGTCCAGAAGAGGACCTGTGCTGTAAGGCTGGGACGGAAAGAGAAGAATCAAGTTTGGCTGAAAGGAAGAGGGGGGTAGCTTGCAGCCAAATGGTGCTGTTTGAACCTTGACAACTCTAGGTCACTTAAGCCCATGTTTTCACCTGTCAAGTAAAAACAGCTCCCTTGCAGAGGCCTACAACTCAGGGTGGCTATCTCCTAACTACAGACCTGGACCAGCCCTGAGGATTGTTAGTCTCCCCCTCTGCCCTCATCCATGGGAGCCTGTGAAGACCAACCCAGTGGCACTCAACTCCCCACTGCAAAGCACCTGTGTTTTGGAGAGTGAGGCAGGAGTGCAGATAATGTACTAAATGAAAATATCTGCTATTTCCAAGGGTCACTTGGCCAAGTTCATCCTTCACCTGCCTTGTTCTCTTTGCTGTACTTCTTTTCCGAAAGACGTAAAGGCATGGAGTTCACTTCAATCACATTTCCCAGCACTGGCTGTATTTAAAAGAGCTATACTTGAGAAGGTACCATGTCTGCACAGCCACTGTACCAGAGCCCCAGAATGGAGTACTACATGAACACCCCCCTCCAAAATACATACAAATCTGCACACATACATACACACAAATCTCAGTCCATCAGGGCACTGTAAACTGAGCTTTGGGGGTGACAGCCATAGCTCAGACAATGGAAGTAAACCTTTGGCAAAAAAAAAAAAAAGTGGGTGAAATAAAACTAGAGACTTTCAAATTTTTCTCTTCCAGAGAGGAAAGGATGGAGGAAGTGGAGGTGAGTATGTGCACGGCCACCAATGCCCAATTCCAAGGGCCCATGCCCACTGACTATATGCGGATGATGGCCCTTTGTGTTGTACAAAAGCCATTGCCCAGCAGCCCTGAGACAGGTGTCCATAGTACTTACTAACAGAAGAGAAAGTTCTACTGTGTTTTGCCAGCTGCCCTCTCAAGGATGTCAGGTAATGTTATTGTGGGTTCTTGCAGAGGAGCTGGCTCTAAAAGGCAGGGCTACATCTTCGCCCTCGCCCTGAGGTGGATGAAGTGTAGAGTTAGCTGCCTAAGCCCGACCCCATGTCATCTACTCAGCCAGGAAGCTCAGCAGGAGTAGAGGATACGGCCCAGTCAGGAGGGCACAAGGCCTGGAGGCTAGAGCCAGTCAGCCTCAGGCAGGTTGCACTGAGACCTGACCAACATATGATGGCTAAAATCCAAGTTAAAAAGCTGTACGCTAAGTCAGGCAGTACTTCAGGGGTCACACTGCAGCGTCACACTGGACAAGGCAAGCAGTGGGGAACCCTGGTAAGCAGGGAGGCTGGCTGGTATGGACACACACACACCACTGCACAAATGCAGTGGCTTGAGAGCCTAGAGAAGCCACAGCTAGGGGAACTCCCTTGATATCCAGCACACAGGCAAAGGCTGGCATTGAAAGAGAAAAGCTGTATGTTTCTCTAATTTGGAACATATGCACAATACTTGGTTCATATGTTCCAAGGTTCCTCTCTATGTATGGCTTGATCTTTTAGGTCCCAGATGGAAGCTATCTTATTCTCTCCCACTGGAAGGCCATCTAGGCTCTCCAAGGTAAGCCTTTACAATCTGCCTAGCAGAGTCCTGGTAACCATGCCTACCTGGCTTGGAGCCCAGCTCTGCGGAAGCTGGTGGAGGACACACTGACCTAATGGTTAGAAAGGCTGGGGCCCTGCAGCCCAGGTGTAGTGGGGTCTAAGAGCATCTCCTCTTTCTCAGGCTGAGGCACTGAGGTTGTAGGAGACGGGACAAACAGCCAGGGTGATACCCTGGCCCAGAAGGAGGGAACAAGGAACAGACACGTGTGTGCATGCATGCACACACAGCCCAAAGGTGACACAACTTAACACACAGATACGATGACAACCAGAAGCTGGAACTCCACGCACTGAATGCAGGACTTTGGGGGTCAGGGAGGGAAGGTGCTGGGGCCCCAGAGGCAAGGGTGAGAAGTCCCTCCACGCAGGAGTAGTGTGACCACTCTGCCTTGCCCTAAACACCTGGCTCTAGGGCCATGGCAAGAGTCCAGTCCATTAAGTGCAGTGTGCAATACTAGTGCTTGGAGTCTCCTGTCCTCATCAACGAAGCCATGTGGACGGGACAAGTCACCTGGCAGGAGGCATTGACCACCGGCAGGTTAGTTGTATCGGCCCTTGATCATTGTGTTCAACAAAGGCCCCACCTGTAAAGAGACATGAGGAACCAGTCAGAACTCCTGCTCTACCCTGGAATTGGACTCAATGTACCTAGAGACATTCAGTGTCTAGCCAAAGATAAGGACGAAACAGTCACTCAATCTTATAAACCCTCTAATCCATGTTCTTCCTGAAGGTCAACACAATGTTCTGGAGCATGATTCCTCCTTAGTGGGGCAGGGGTGGCGGTTTCATCTTGTACTACCTTCCCTCTCACAATACCCACTATGTGCAAGCAGCACCAAAAAGACAGGTTGGTGGAGCTCACCAGCTCTCACACCCAAGAGTGTCTGCATGTTTCTCCAGTATCCTCAAGGAATGTCAAGGGCCTTAACAACAGGCCACCTGCAAATTGGGTCCAGTGCCATCTCCTGATCTCAAAGGCACCTGTGGATGCTGAAGAGAAAGCAAAAATATTTCTAATATAAATCTCCCCCATTTACCCAATGGGCCAGTGGTGCACCTGCGTGGCAAGGTCTCAGCACTACCTAGAGCATCCCTGGCTCAGCTGAGACAGAACACAAGGAGACGCTTTACTGAATGCTTCTTATTCTGAAAAATCCCCTCGGGGTCCCCAGCTGGCACATAAGCCTCATGGGGAACATTACTACTAGCATGGAACAGATTATAATTGATCCACCAGTCAAGCCCAGCTCTCAGAGAAAACAAGGATTTTCTAAACATACCCATAGCCTATATGGAGAGGACATCAGACACTGAGACAAAAGAGCCATGAAGGGTGCCACACTCACTCTGACTTACCTCTTGTGGGTTCCCTAAGGCCTCTCCAAGCATCTTCTCAATATTTCTCATTATGGCTACTTTCTGGTGAGCTTTGAGAGGATATTCAATTCTCTTAGGGGTGGGAGCCCCCTACAAAGGAAGCAGGACAGGCAATGCCTTCAGTAGGATTCAGTGTCAGTCTACTGCTTCCAGTTCCTTCTCCCTTCTAAGAAACTGATTCAACCCTTTCCCTCTTCATCTTCCCCTAGAGATCCTGGAATCACTTTTGGGGATGGCCAGCTATCCCAACTCAGCCAAAATCACTACATTTACTCCACTGCACCCCCAGTTCTAGGTCAATCAATCAAACAAGGAAACACATTCACCTTGTACCAGAAGTTCACAGTGATGGTAATCCCCCCATTTAATAATGACTCTATATGATGCCACCTACAAGAGAACAAAGAAGCTCCTGGTCACTTGTCACAGGGGGTAACAGAAAGCTAAGCAGAAGACAAGGCAAATAGTGAAGACAGTACCTTTATGCTCATCCTGCAAAATACACACGGGGTACATCTGAATTAACCTTGCCGTACGCATTTTCAATTTTGTCTCAAGACTGGGACACAAGATTTTCTAGGGAATGAGAAACAAAGTTCCCAGAGGGGAGCCGGTGAGATAGCTCAGCAGACTAAGCACCTGCTTAGGCAAGTGCAGGGACCAGGCGTGGCAGTGCACACCTATAATCCCAGTGCTGGGGAGGCTGAAAACAGGAGGATCACTGTGAGTCCAAGCTGCGTAGTGAGACCCTGTACCAAATACCTAAAAAAAGAAAAAGGAAGTTCCCAGACAGCCTAACCCACAGCCGCCTCCTTACCAGTACATTGGGATGTAGAGAACATCACCAGGGCCAACCACTGTTTCATAACCAACCACCTTTTGGAAATTGGGAAATCTCTCATAGTCAGGATTATCAAAGTCCACCTAAGAGATGTAAGAAAAAGAAGAAGGTCAATCGCCAGACTGCTACCAAAACCACGATGTACTAGCTACCTTTGCACATCCCTCTAGGGGAACAAAACGAGGCATTTAGACTTGAGTGCTGAGAGTCAAAGGCTTCGGTGTGCCCAACGTCCGAAGACTGCTCAAAGGCTAAGAAATCAGAACTCATCCATCCCGCAAACCCTCAGCAACTCTGCTCCCAGAACAAGTTCTAATCAACAGAGTCCTCCGAAAGAATATCTCTTGCTGACTGTGGAGTCAAATAAGTGCCTCACTTAAATCCAGGAAATACAAATGACATATCTCTTTTATTTACCATATCAAAAACAGCATACATGACAACAAAAATCAATGATGAAATCCAATGGAAACATACATGTTTTGTTCACAAGCCTGTAAAATGAGTCCATCAGCTTCAGTGACATCTGCTCCTGAGAAGCAGCTCTTTGGGCTGTCTACTGGGTCACCTGAGGAGCCTGGAATATGATGTGAGCTACACTGGGAAATCATCCTCGGGGCTTGTCTAGAAGGTAGCAACCTGTGATCCAAATCTGGCCTAGCACCACAGGAAAGGGGAACAATGCTCTCAAAGACATTCCTAGAATTTGGAGTTCTACACCCTTCTTCAGCCACACAAGCTCACCTGGCTCTGTCTGTCACATGGGTGGTGGACAGGGTATGGATAGAGGCACTCAAACTGATCTGGCGAGAATAAGATGCATCGCTTATGACCTTTTATCTGAGCAAAGAAGTTCTGTTGTTCATCATAGTGAGCAGGCGTCACATTTCCTGTACGAAGAAAAACATTTCCTTATCCAAAGTACACTCGTCCCTCACTTATATGGAGGTTGCGTTCCAGACACCCGCAATAAGTGAAAATAAGTGAAGCAGCAATGTTCATACTTATTTTTTTAAATCTTTTATGCATGTATTTGGTACACGGTCTCACTACATGTCTCAGACTTGTAGTGATCCTACAATCTCAGACTCTCCAGTGCTGGGATTACAGGTATGTGCCACAATGCCCAGTTTTGGTGGCTGGCTTGGCTTCGGGCCAGCATGGCATGTGGTACCAAGGACTGAACCCAGGTCCTTGCATTTGCCAGGTAGGTGCTTAGACCACCAAGCTATCTCCATGGCCCTGTATTTATTTTCATGTTTATATATATTTTAAGGCTTTATAAACCCTTCCCAAATTATAAACCTTTCCACTTTTAAAAGTACTTCTAATGTTCTTTTTTTCTTTCTTTTTTTTTTTTTTTAGTGGAACCAGGGACTGAACTCAGACCCTTGCGCTTGCTAGGGAAACGCTTTTTCCACTGAGCCATCTCCCCAGCCCCTCTAATGTTCTTAACTATTTTCTAAACTCATAAACCTATGTAATTTTAAAAACATATGCATACTGTACAATCCTGCAAAATCCTGTGATACAGCAAAAAATCAGCAATAGTTTCATGTTTTGAAAATCCGCAAAACAGTGAGTCTGTGAAAGTCAAACTGTGAAATAGCAATGGACTACTGTAGTGCCTCTGCAGCACAGGTTAAGCAGTCCTAGAAAGGAAGCCCAGCATGCCCTACCAGCTGAGGGCTTGAAATCAAATTTTAGGCAGAATCAGAAATATTACAATTACAACTCTTAGCAAAGTAAGCATTTTTTTTTTTTTTTGTGGAACCGGGGATTGAACTCAGATCCTTGTGTTTGCCGGTCAAGCACTTATCCTACTGAGCCATCTCCCTGGCCCAATTATTTTTATTTGAGACAAGGTCTTGCTACCTAGTTCAGGTTGGCCTTAAACTCACTATGTAGCCTAGGACGGCCTGAAACTCAGTGATCCTCCTGTCTCAGCCTCCTGAGTGTTGGGATCATAGGCCCAGCTTAAATGTTACATTTTTATGGGCAGTAAGTATAGCAACTGTCATCGGAAAGGGTCCATGACCAGCTAGCAGAGTACAATGGACTTTCCTAAATGGTGGCTGTTATCCTTACTGGAATTAAGCACACAAAATGGATTAAGTCTGGCAGGGGAAGATACTATGTATACTTATATTTTTCTTGACTGTGAAAAGAATTCCAGGAAAGAAAAGTACAAATGACTTTTTCTCACAATGAACATATTATCTTGAGTTAACCAGTCATTTGAAGTTGGGTGAATATGCCCTTGTTTTGTGTAGCTCTCCTGGAGCCCAAGATTTTCAACTTTTGCTCCTGTTTTGCCACAGCTGTGGGATACAGCACTTCTCAAAGCAACATGGGACTCACTGGAGCCATTGGCTCTGGCTAGAGGGAAACTTGTATCACAAAGGGAGTGCTGTGTAATTTAAGTAAGTTTAACACATTCATGCTTCCTTGATTTAGTTGTGCCCTAGGATATGGTCCATCTCATTTTTGTGTAACTAAGGCCACATCTATGTCCTCCGCACACTTCTGCAGGCCATGGAGTTTAGAAAACCTTCCCCAGCCCTCCTGGGTGTGCCAGGAAAGCCTCTTTCTTAAGTGCGGAGAGCATATGTACATCTTCAAAAGAGAGTGTTTTCTACTTCTACCTGCAGGATCCAACTTCGTGCTACAGGAAAAGGAAGCAACAAAGAAAGTCAGACCCAAAGAAACCAGAACCGGCTTCTTCCTGGTAGGTCAACCATGCACTGGCTTCAAAGGGCAGGTTAACTGTCAACTCCTCGGCTACACTGCTGGAAAACTTTTTTTGTATGTAGTGCAGGGTCTACAAGGTCTCACTACACAGATTGGACTTGTAGCGATTCTCCTGTTTTCAGTTCCCCAAGCCCTGGGATTACAGGTGCGTGCCACCATGCCCAGTCTCAATCACTGTCTCAGAATGCCCTGGGGACAGGGCCAGCAAAGCAGGAGAGTGGGAGCTAAGAGGTGTAGGAGGGACTTACAGTCACATACCTACTTAGACCTTTTGGGTTTTGAGCACCACACATATTTAACCTATTTAAAACATCAGGTCGGATCTGTAAGTTTTCCTTTTTACCAGGATGCAAATCTGAATAGAGACAAATACAATACAGAGCAGTAGCATTTCAGAGGGGCCCTCACACAGCAGTTGAGAAAGAGGGAAATTTTTTTAGAGTGCATGAAAGTAACTGAACTTCCATTACCTCATTTCATCCTCAGTTATCCATGAGATACTATCTGCTTTCTTCTGCAAACGAGAAAGCTAATACTTTAAAAAGCCTAGTGACTCACTCAGTCAAGGAGCTAACAAGGTACAGAGACAAAAATGGAAGTCAAGTTTGTGTGACTCCAGGGCCGGTGAGATAGCTCAGTGGATTAAGCACCTGCTTAGGCAAGCGCAGGACTGGAGTTTCATTGGGTACCATGTGCCACACCAGCCCAGCCCCCAGGCGCTCTGCCCTGACCCCTGAGACCTGGTGTGGTGGTGCACACCTGTAATCCCAGCACTGGGGAGGCTGAAATAGAAGGATCACTAGCGTTCGAGCTGCATAGTGAGTCCCTGTACCATATACATTAAATAAAGTTGTGTGACTCCAAGCCATGCTGCTTTCTGAAAGATTTCTTACCTTCCATGCCAATGAGCAGCAGGTTAGAGGTCAGCTGTCCCCAGCCACGCTTTCCCTGTTGCTTATTAATCCAGTTCCAGTTAAAACCCAAAAAGTCCATGACAATTTTCCTGCCCACGGTGTCATTGAGAGTTTGCTGTAGATACAACCTATATTCCCCAAAAAGAAAATTCCATCAATGCATGCACACGTAGCCCCTGACATGAACTCCTCACATCTGGAAATACTCAAATCCACATCAGCATCTTCCATAGAAAATATAAATCTCCCACAGCTATAGTCATGTACATTTGTAATGAACATGAATTATCATAGAAGTAATTTTTTCTTTTTTGAGATAGGGTCACACTATGATGCTCAGGCTAGTGAACTTCTACCCTAGCCTATCAAGTTGCTGCGACCACAAGAGCATACCACCATACCATCTCAGAACTGAAATTTTTTTATTCCACTTTTGAGACAGGTCTCACTAAGTAATTCAGGCTGGCCTCCTGCCTCAGGCTTCTCTAGCCTCAAGCTCCAATGGTGGGATACAGGCACGTACCATCATGCCCAGCTGAAAACTGAAGTCTTATCTATCCTTCCCTGAACGCTATGCAATACTAAAATTAAAGAAGTGATTCCCTGAGTTCAATCCCCGGTTTCGCAAAAAAGAAAAAAAAGACGTGATTTTCATCCTTCTAGGTCACAGGATAAACCCATAAGAATCCAAAATTCTCCACAAAAATGGACATACAGAATTTCCACATAATTTCATAGCCAGCAAAAGCCTAGAATAACGAACTAGCCTTGCTCCAGACTCTCAAGGCCTGACACACCTCCTTTGGCCCTCAATGGCCACTGTCACAGATTGTAACCTTGTTCATCCACCAAAAGCTAATCTTTTGGTCTTTCCTCACAGAGGAATTAGTCTTCCATGTCTGCTTAGTGCCAGGCTTATTTCACTTACTTTGGCCAATGAAATACCCATGGAAGTGAACTGTGTTTCCAACTGCCTTATTTTTTGTGGCGCTGGTGACCAAACCCATACTAGGCAAGTATACTACTATTACACTGCATCTCCAGGCATTTTAACTTTTTATTTTGAGATAGGATCTCACTGCCCAGGCTTGAATTTGCAATCTTTCAGTCTCAGACTACCCAAGTAGCTGGATCCCAGGTGCATGCCACTGGCTTCCAACCCTAACTTTAATAAACAGTCCACACTTCCCCTTTTTCCCTCTTGTCAAAACAAATAAAAAGTTGCAGATAGTAGCTACTAGAACAAAAGGTTGATTCTAAAAGGAAAAGGATGACATGACCAACTTGAACTACAAATCTTGGTTAAATTGGAAACACTATCTACATGGAACCCTCAAGACTTGAATGGAACAGTTGGACTCTCCTTAGGATTAATTATATACATATAAATTTTGTAAGTAACTTTGAATCTGGGACACTCCCCAAGCACAAATATCAAGTATTCGGTGAAAGAAATTCCCAAGAAGCAACATTATGTAGCACAGGACTCAATGCTCAATGCTGTCTGGGTCTACACAAGGGCTGCCCTCATAAACAGGGCTAAAAGCAGAAAAGAAAAAACCATCCTCTCAAGTGCATCTTGTGTTTGCTATCCCTGGTACATCACAGAACAGCAAAAACCCCATCTTCAGTCTAATCTGATCTTTCCTAGCTAGGCTAGAAGATCCCAATATCCTTTAACCGAAATCACAACTACACAACTTCTCAACTTGTTTATTTATTTATTTATTTATTTATTTTTGCGGAACCGGGGATTGAACTCAGATCCTTGCGTTTGCCAATCAAGCGCTTATCCTACTGAGCCATCTCCCCAGCCCCACAACTTCTCAATTTAAACTGCCCCTAGCACTCCAATACTCTAGAACAAAGGCTGCAAATTGGCAATCTAAGAGCAACATCCAGCGACAGACATTTACTGTTTGGTTTCCCCGCTGTTTTTAAAAAAATACCTGACCTGGACAAGATAACACATCTGGGATCTCAGCACTTGGGATGGTGAGGCAGGGGGACTTGCCCAAAGTTCAAGGACAGCCCGGACTACACAGCAAGACTGTCTCAATGCCCGCCCTGTCCCCCATGTGTGAAATTCATAGCTGTCCTTTATACAACTCAAAACATTTTAAACAATTCCTCATCTTGAGCTACTTTGGGAAAATCAAAGTGCCTAATAACCCTTGACTGCCATCTAAAATAGAATAAGCAGACTTCACCCTTTGGAGAAGAGTAGACAGTTCGTGCAGCAGGAATTCAGAAATGCAAGACATCAATCCTGCTCATCCAATTCTGCCCACTCCTTAAAAATGGATGCTCCTAAATCAAACGAAAAGCCAAGACTTGGGCACTGACCTGTCTTCCCCTCCTTGCTGCTGTATATCTTGAAGTTTCTCGACAAACTCATGAAATTTCATTTCCTCTCTGTTGGACCTCGGCTTAAAGTTCTGGAAATTAGCCATCTTCTTCTCGTCATAGTACAAGAACTTGTGAGTGCTGGCACTGTACACAGAGAAGTCTCCGTTGCCAATGTTCTCTTGCAGGTACTCAAGGTCCCACTTCAGGGCAGGATACACAAGATTTGTGTCGGTCAGCACCACAGGCTCCTGGGCGAAAAGCAAAGGAACTAGCTCTAGGAAGCTGGCTTCTCCTCTTACGGGTCCACCTTCGCAACACTGCCGTCAGCAGCGCGAAGTCCTCGCCCTCACTGTCGCCCGCCTCCCCTCCCGGGCGCCCCGGCCCGGCTCGAGCGCCGCCGCCGAGCTCGCCCCGGCCCAGCCCCGCCCCGCCCCACCTCGTTCTCGATGAGTTCCTCCGCCCGGGGGTCGCTCTGGCTCAGACGCGGGATGGGGCGCGTCTGGAAGCCGTAGCTGCGCAGCTGGGACTCATCCCAGGCGGGGCCCGGCGCCTCGGCCTCCTCCCGGGTCTCCGCAGCGTCAGAGGCCGCGGCCGCCGCCGCCGCCATCTCCGCCGCTGGGACACCCCTCCGGAAGCGGAAGCCCCGCCCGTGCCGAGCGCGCGCCGCGGAAACCATAGAGAGGAGCGGGAGAGAGCGGCGCGGACGCGCTCGAACGCAGGACCGAGACTTCGCTGCGCCCCCTGCTGGGGCCTGCAGCCCACGTCCCGGGCGCCCTCGCTTCTGGCCAGCGCGGCGCGCGCTCCCGGCTCCTGGCGCCCAGGCGGAGCAGCAGCGTGATGCGGGTTGGACATACTGAAGGAAGTCGGGAGAAGAAGCGGTTATCACACCGATGGATGTTAGACAAAGGGGCTCTGAAGGCCGAGGCAAAGATGTAAGGAAGTTAAATTCAAAATCAAGAGACGAGCTGGTGTGCCAGGTTCGAGTTAAATAGGAGACCGAGAGCAGAACAGGTTAAAATTGAGAGCCCCTCAGCAGCTGGGCCGGCGGCCGCTCCGCCGCTCTGCACGCAGGGAGGCGCTACGCAAGGTGTGACTGCTCTCTTAGCGCGAAAAGCCCCATTCTGGTCTGCAGGTAAGATGGGGCGGGGTCTGCGAAGTTCTGCGAGACAAGAACAGCCTTATGGGACTGGATAGAACGAAGTATTGGCTGCGGAATTTGGATGCATCTCCTTTGCGGAAAGCAGTCAAGGCCGGGGTACTCTTTTGGCCTTAGTAATTTTTCGCAGTCCTAGAACATTTTTAACTGCTGACTGTGCTTATAGGAATTAGGTTAGGGAGGGAGACACTCAGTTACTCCTTGCTAAACAGCCTTGAGCAGAGGGTAAGAACACATGCTTTAAAGTAGACAACAGGAAGCATAAAGGAACCTAATAGTTTTCCATAGTTACAGCACAAAATTCAGTTGACCCATTACACTGCGCGTGATGGAGCACCTGTCATCTCAGCTACTCACCGTCTACAACAGGAGATTAAATAAAAAGTAAAATCAAGGAAGGTGTTTTTGTTTTATGTTGTTTTGTTTTAAGCGTCTTTTGAGTTTTCTGTCAGGCACCATCTCCCCTGCTTGTATATATTCTTGCCATGAGACTAGTATGAGTATGGGCAGTCTACATTTTCAAACAATCCGTCTTGGTTATAAAAGTCCATATCAAAAAAAAAACAAACAAAACCACATCGATCGCCTTTATTGGTTATTTAGACAATTCTTATGGCTGGCTGTGAGTCAGAATTCTTAGATGGATCCCAATTTTGCACTCCATGGTGTAGTTACCCTATATAAGTCTCTCCCTTAAATAACAGTAGGACTTGCGAATGTGATAGAGTAGCACTCCTGCAGTCAGAGTATTGTAGGCAGCCGAGTTAGACAGAAATATTATAGGCAGTTAGACAGGGCCAGGCCCTCAAGGAGACAAGATGGAAGACAAGGTGACTTTGCAACTTGGAAGAGACAGACACTCCCATATGGGCCACACCTCAAGACCAAGACAAAAAGAGGAAGCACAGCTACA